TGTGCCGCTTATCGTGCTATCTAATATGAGGTTGAACATACTATTGTTCAAAGAATTTTCGCATACTAAATATAAATCCATGCTAAGATCTGTGATTTTTTTTCAAAATATGAGCCTCCCCTACCTATTTTTAGGGGAAGCTTGAGCCTCCCCAAGCCTAATGGCTCCGCCACCACTGTTCAAGATATAGTGTTCTATTTAAATATCTTAATTTTCCAGAAACGCGTCCAATTTAAAAAAAGCACTGGGACACATTTTTTGGCTGATTAACGAGCCAATGTCCCAAACACATTTGAATGAGAAGAATGTAGACATGGGTGTTAGTCTTCTCTCCATTCCCTTCGCAACAACAGACATCCCACGGCCAAAAATTCTCAAATAAAAAAAGTAACAATATGATGCGATTATTATACTTCACTAGACCAAATTTTATTTAGTTTTCCCATTGTTCTAGTGCTCAATTCAGATAATTCATATCTGGTCCATAATAGCCGAATATAAACTGATAATCGTGCGAGATTTAGATAATGAAGAGACATAAAACAATAGGAAGAAAAAAAATAAATCTAATATATTATAAAATATTAGGTAAATCTTATGCAGATAAACGATGGAAAGAGAAATGAACATCAAACTATTATCAAATAATCAAAAAAGCAAAAAAAAATAACTTTAATCTTATATTATGACTTATATGACTTAAGAAAAGATCGACAGATGTTTTTATCAAGTTTTTTTTTGTAACTATAAAAAACGAATACAAGGCTTTTAACTCTTCATCTTTGATGATCAATTTAAATTCATGTTAGAAGAGACACGTTTAATTCTGTTCAACAACAATTAATATATAGATAATTTTAATCTATGTTTAAATTCAAGTAAACCTCATTTACAATAATCAAGCTCCAAAGTCATCTATTCCTTTTTAAATATCAACAAAGTAGGATGGCTGTGAGTGTGAGTTTGCTTGAGGTGCATGCTAGTTTTTGTGTGGTGCAAGTGTAGATTAACAATCATACCTTACACCCGTTCACAACCACATCCATTGGTATTCACATTCGCTGCAACATTCAGATATCTTTTTTGTAGCAGTGTGTTCCAACGCTCTAGTGGATTCTCTTTAGTCGAAGAAGTGTTTTTCATTTGGACCTATAAAAACAGAAGTGCCAATAGCTCTAATAAAGCAGTTCCACTGATTTACATGAAGTTGTTATTGTTTCATTCGATGTGCAATAAACTTTAATTTCACAAAGCTACATCTATAAGAGACTTTCAAACTACAGTAATTAGTTTCCATTGAAATATTTCAGTAAGTTTTTTTCAAAATGTTTAAAAAAACATTATATTCTATTTGAGTGTGAGAAGAGATGTAGGGTAGAGTTGGCGTGGCTTGTGAGTGTTGGCTTGTGTAGGCATGGATATTTCTTTCACACAAATTTGACCCTCATACACGCCTACACCCACCCTTTATGCGTCGTTATTATGAAAAATGACGACAACTGCTACTCACAGTATGATTGATGATTCAGACATCATGACACATCACCAATAAAATACATGAAAATAGAAGAGAAAGGAAGTGAGTGAGTCAAGAAAAAAAAGATGGAGAAAAGTAAAACAACATTTCTTATCTAAACGATTTTCATTGTTATTTCATCATCTGTTACCGTCTATTGTGACACAATAACATATCAGTTATTAAGAAACAATTAGAAAGGATGTTCATTATCAGCAAATTGTTTGTATTTTTCTTGGTATTCCCTTCTATAGTGAGCAGGTAATGTATTCAAACAGCTCTTTGACAATTGTTGATATATCATTTTTGTTGATTCAATCCTCTAAACAATACGGATTTTGAATTTTAATTCAAAAATTTAAATTATAAAAAAAATTTGCAAAATAAGAGAAAGTCTTTTATGTACGAATTTATATGCTTTAAACAATAACCACGTCTGGTGACTTTCGATAGTTCTATAAGACAAAGAAAACTCGAGAAGATACTAGCCTTTAGAATGAAACTTGAAAAATGATCAAGAAAGTATATCTTGAATTTTTTTCCCTCTTTTGCCCAGAGTTTTGGATTAGAGATCTAAATCAAAAGATCACTTTATCAACAATTGTGGTTTGTTGGCATTCTTCATATCTTTTCAAACTCCATATTTTGTACGTTGAGGAAAGATAGACAGCTTCATCAATGATAAAATGGTTCGTCTTAATAGAGAAACTTTTCGTCGATATGACAACAAATATAATCATCTAGTTAGGCTAAACATCCACGATATGCACTCTAAAACAAAATCTTCAGAATTTTTCTCTACGATATTAATACAGATTCCAATCCAATTGATCGTGTTTTTTAGTGTTCACAAGATATTGAATTAATATTGTCATACTCATTTTATGCTCTCGTTTATTATAGTATTGAAAACACTCGACAACGTTCTGTTGGAAGCTCATCCACTTTCGACAGCACCCAATTTTATTTACTTTGGATCGACGATTGCATTCGAGAAGATAATGATGATTGCCGTCATACAAAATCACTTCTTCGTGGACTCATTCCTTCTGCTGAATTTCATTGGGATCTTGACGAATCTATTTCCATTATTAATCGCGCAAAATACACCGAGAAAAATTTTATAATTGTGGTCTCCGGTAAAAAAGCGTCAATGTTGTTCAACTATCTGATTTATTACGATTTAAATGATCACGTCGATAGACTATTCATCTTCTGCAATAAACCTGACGACTATCAGCATTTGCAGCATGAGAAACTGTTTGGTATCTTCACGGATGTTAAACTACTTATTGACATGATTCGCATAACCACGTACACGTTATCAAGTAAAAAGGTAGAAACATCTATTAACCTCTTCGATCAGCAACAAACATGGTGTCGACCGATTCCTATAACGACATTACCACGCATTTGGCATCAAATTTTACTTGATATTCTAATGATTCTACCTCGAGATGAACAAGCTAAACAAGAAATGATTAAAAAAAGCAAAGAATACTATGCCACAGATAGTAAGCAGTTAAAGCTGATCGAACATTTTAGTAAGGACTATAGTTCTGAACTAGCTCTCGAATGGTACACAGCCGACTCTTTTGTGCACAAGCTCGTTAACCTAGCGCTACGTAGCGAGAATATCGACCTTCTCTATGCTTTGCGTTTCTTTATCAGCGATCTTAGTACAGAGATAAAACGATCGCAAATCGCACAACAAACTATTTCCGGAACGGTAGTATCGAAAATCAGGAGCGGGTCAAACTCTCGCATCAAACTATTCAGTGGTCAGCAATTGCGACCAAACGACCTAGAGACACTGAAACAGAGTCCAGGTACCGTTATTTCTATCAATAATTTCCTTTCTACCTCAATTGATCGAAGTCAGGCTAAAGAGTTCGCTGATCAATACCTATTACTGTCAGATATGCAACGAGTACTCTTCGAGATTTCATTGAATACTTCACTACAAGATATGGCTGTATTTGCCGAACTCGAGCATTATACACATTTTCGTGAAGAACGAGAGGTTTTGTTTGATTTCAATTCTCTTTTTAATGTGACTCATGTTGAATACGATCCATTTGATCATATTTGGAGTGTGAAAATGAATGCCATTGCAAAAAGTTCGATCAAGGAACATCCTTATCTTAGCACTATACGAGAAATGTTCGTCCAGAATCATTCGGCTACCGTTGCCTTTGGCATCGCCATGGCATATGGTTTTGAAAAAAAGCAGCAAGTAATTCGTTATTTTGATCAGATATTACTGACTTTGCCGCCTTATCATGTTGATCTGCCAGATATTTTGGAACAAAGAGCTATTTTATATCAAGAAAAAGGTGAAAACAAAATGGCTTTAAATGATTATGAACGGGCTCTTGAAATTCGTCGCCAACGTATCCAGGAGACTCTATTGCGCATTGC